CAATTTCAAAAGACAATACAAGAACAAAATGACAAAATAAATGAAAAATTAGAAATGATACAAAATCTACAGACAGAAATCCAGAAGATTAATACTCAATTTTCAGAAATAGATAACACATCTGAATGGGCAAAGCAGTAGAATTGAATCAATGGAAGACAGAATTAGTGAGATTGAAAGCAAACACCTCAATACTTCTTTGGAAAGGGATCAATCAGAAAAAAAGATCAAAACAAAATGAACAAAGCCTAAGGTTCATGGGGGATGCCATTAAAAGGAATAACCTACATGTCATCGGAATTCCAGAGCAAGAAAAAAATGTGGAAGATTTGCTGGAAGAGAATTTTCCAGTATGATGAAAGATGAGAATATATCCATTCAAGAAATCCAACGAACCCCAAACAGGATAGACCCCAAAAGAAAATCACCAAGAGATGTTATCATGAAACTCATCAAAACCAAGACAAAGAAAGAATTCTAAAAGCACCATGGGAAAAACCAAAAGTTACCTGCAAGGGGCAACCAATAAGATTAAGCTCGGATTTCTCAGCAGAAACCATGCAGGCGAGGAGACAATAGGATGGTATATATAAAACTTTGAAAGAGAAAAATTTCCAACCAAGAATTATATGCCCAGCAAAATCATCCATCAAATATGATGGTGAAATTAGGACATTTCCAAATAAGCAGAAATTAAGGGAATTTGTTAAAACCAGACCAAACTTACAAGAGATGGTAAAGGGAGTCATTTGGACAGAGAACCAACAACAGCAAACAACAAATGACCATTAACATACATGATGACATAACCCAAAAACCAACCCAGTTATTAAAAAAAAAAAATTAAAAGTTGTAGATCCAACTCATAGCGACCCCTCCTTGGGTTTCCAGGGCGATATCACTACGGAAGTAGATTGCCCAACCTTCCTTCCGAGGAATGGCTGGTGGTTTGAACCGCCAGCCTTCCAGTTAGCAGTCAAATGGCTTAGGTACTACACCACCAGAGCTCCTAACCCAGTTATAGAAGTATCCAAAGTAAATAATCCTACAAGATTGTAAACAAGGAACCAGAGACATCAATTGATGAATGAAGACAACTACAAACTAAAAAAAAAGGAAATAGCTGTGTAGTTACAGAACTTGTAAATGGTAGGGGAGTCAAGACAACTACAAGATAGAATAGACTGTTCTAAACTTGGGAAGAAAACTATAAATCATAGAGTAACCACAAAGAAAAATGATAAATCTTCACATCAAAATAAAAAAGAGGACCAGCATAAATATTCACAAATACTAAACCAATAGTAATGAAGGAAGTGATAACATGATTCATAAACAAAACAAGCTTAGCATAGAAAATGATATGGAACAAAGAAATCAACACCATGGAAAAGCACAAAATAAAATGATAGCAACAAACTCATACTTGTCAATAATTACAAATCTGACAAGGGACTTATCTCTAAAATTAACAGAAAACTCTCACACCTCAACAACAAAAAAGATTAACAATCTAATTTAAAAATGGGCAGAAGACATGAATAGACACTTCACCAAAGAAGATATTCAGGTGGCCAGCAAATACATGAAGAAATGCTCATGATCATTAGCCATCAGAGGGATGCAAATCAAAACCACAATAAGATACCATCTCACCTCAGCACTAATGGCAAAGTTCAACAAGACAGAAAATAACAAATGCTGGTGAGGATATGGAGAGATTAGGACTCTCATATACTGGTGGTGGGACTGTAAAATAATACAACCATTGTGGAAAACAGTATGGCGATTCCTTAAAAAGTTGGAATTAGAAATACCATTTGACCCAGCAATCCCATTACTAGGTATATATCCTAAAGAAGTGAGAGTCAGGACAAGAACAGACATATGCACACCCGTGTTCATCGCAGCACTATTTACAATAGCCAAAAGATGGAAACAACCAATGTGCCCATCAAAAGAAGAATGGATAACCAAACTATGGTACATACACACAACAGAATATGATGCAACACTAAAGAATAAGGTAAAATCTGCAAAACACCACATAACATGGATAAACTTGGAGGACATTATGCTGAGTGCAATAAGTCAACCACAGAAGGACAAATACAGTGGTAGTTCATTATTGTAAAAAGTCAAGAAAAGGTTTATATATGGAAGGAAACTTTCTTTGTTGGTTACCAGGGGTGGGAGGGGAGTGGAGGGAACACTGCCAAAAAAAAAAAGAAAGAAATGCATTGACCCATGTCACTTTAGTTTTATGTATTTCACCATACATAAATTATATTTCAATACTACTACTAATAATAAAGATATATTGATACAGTAGCTACAATGATGGACTATAGCAGGGATTGTGGAGCTGGCACAGGACCGGGCAGTGTCTCGTCCTGCTGTACACAGGGTCGCTATGAGTCGGATATGACTCAAAGGCACCTAACAACAACAACAGAGAAACAGATACAGTGCAGGCAGGAGGGAACCCAGGACTGACAAGGAAAGAGTGCAGGTGGGGTGCGGGGAAGGCTCAGCGCACGGAAGCATGGGACACTGGATGAACTGACGCACACAGCAGCTTTCTCCGAGCCTGAATGCAGCTGAGAGAGAAAGCACCTGCTGGGGCTGGGGCGGACAGCACTGCATCTGTAGTGAAGACAGTAACACAACGACAGCAGGAGCCATTCCCCGAGTGTCTTATGTGTCCCAGCCACGGTCCCAGGACCCATCTCATTTCATCTTCACTCACCATGACAGTGGAAAACTTCAGAGACTTGGCCAAGGTTAAAGGACTAACTTTAAAACGGGTAAAAATTCAAAGATGGTTGTCCAATTCCAACATCGCTGCTCTTTTCACTAGGCCACCCTGCTTCATTATGTATGTGTGCATGTGTGTATATGTGTAGGTGTGTATGTACAGGTATGTGTGTATATGTGTGTGTACACCTGCACCTCACTTATCAACTATCTCTTTATCCAACCTTTCGCATTTATGACAACTTTGGTCCTATGGTCTGGGCCCCAAGCAGGGCTGCAGCCGGGTCCAGGGTGCCTTCCATAGGCCACCCCAAACAATACACCAGAGCCCTCAGCGATGACTCGGCCACGTGCAGGACGGCAGCCGACTGGCCGTGAGATCCTTTCTCCTGTTTGTCTGTGACTTCTCAGGTCAACACAGAGGGCATGGGGCAACAGCAGCATGACGTGAGATCCCAGATGGGCAGGAAAAAGCCAGGCAAGGGCCCAGAGGTGCCAAGGAGGTTGGTAGGGGTGGTGGGAAGTGGGGAAGAGAGAAGAGGGCAGCATGGACAGAGGATGAGTGGGGTCCCTGCCCAGGACAGGTGGTGGGCAACATCCAACCAACCCCATCCCCTACAGGCTCTGTGGTGGTGGGGAAGGTGTGGTGGAGAAGGGGGACCCTGCTGTGCCAAGCACATCCTGACACCCGCAAGAGATGCACGAGAAGGACTGAATGATTTGGGGGGGGGGGCATGACACCAGCACCAAAGGTAGGGTACAGCCCTCAAGTCTCACATAATGTCAATTTCACATTACAACCTGGTCTCTGGAATGAAACCGTGTTGATAAGTGAAGAGTGGGCGTATGCATGTATACGTACGTATATATATGTGTGTGTGCATCTACGTATAGGTAGGTATGTGTGTACTGTCTTAGTGGAATACTAGACTGACACTCTGCTAGAAATTAAAGAAAAAATGTATTGAAGGAATGAAATCATTTCAAAATGGGGAGATATTTACAGACATCCCTGCTAGATGTCAGAATGTGCCAAACTACAGGGACAACAGTGAGGGCTGAAAAGGATCTGTGCTCACAGACAGGTAGAGGTGAGGGGAAGGATAACAAAAGCCACAAGCTTCAACATTATCAGCAGGTTTATCTGTTACATCCTGAGAGTGGTTTAACAAAGCATTCATTCAGGGGTTAATTTTTCTGTCACATCTGAAGCCTGTTTCCTTACCTTAGTTACAGACTTACAAAAGACTAGTAGTGCCTAAGGCATCTGACACGAACCAGAAGGTTGGCGGTTCAAACCCACCAGCCACTCTGTGGGAGGAAGATGGGGCAATATACTTCTGTAAAGATTTACTGCCTCAGAAACCCAATGGGGGTCACTGTGACTCAGAATTGACTCGATGGCACTGGGTTTGGTTTTGGTTTTAGGACTAGACACACAATGGGAAATCCTAGGGGGGTGAGAACGTCATTGGGACTAAGATTTGATAAGTATCTATCTCCACTACAAAGTTATTCACAAGTTCTCCCTTCATGTGACATCATCAGTTCTATTTTTCACCCTTCTGCTGACCCAGGTGCCTTCCCTGAGGCCAGGTGAGAACATACTTACCAGACACTAAGAAACTCTTTCCTAGGTTAGAAATCTTGACTTCTGCCTTCTTTGTTTTGCAGTGAAACTGTGACAAAAAGCTGACTGGTTTCTTTAGCGAGGTAGAAATGAAAATCTGAGTTACATTCAAAACGGAGTTTTTGTTTAGGTCTGAAGTCACCCATTCAGGTGTGGCAGGCGCTCAGTTTTTTAAGCTTCACGTCCATATCATGTATGTATGTGTGTATGTGTGCAAGCACATGTGTACATATCTGTATGTCTGTCAAGAACAGGCAAAACCACCCAACAGTCAATCAGTCTTATTTTTAGGGCAACAAACAAAAAAGGAAAGCCTAAGTCCAGGGTAATTTGGGGGACTTGTGTGTCACACAGAGCAACCACCCCACCATCAAACTGTCGGTGGTTGTGGTGTGAGGTGCTGTCAAGCCAGAGGGCATTTCTGAAGGCAAACTGATGTTAGCTGGTACCAAAAGGTGCTGAACGGATAGTTCTACTTTTAAGACACATTTCTACAGCTTTTCCTCTAACAGAAGAATTACAAACAATTCCACTGATAGCGATTACAACACTTCCCCCAAAGTAAAAAGCTTCACAGAAAAATAAATATTCATGGGTTACAAGCGTCACTAACCTGTCTGGGTTTGCTTCAGTTGCAATTTTAAGTCCGCAATCTGCATCGATAACCCCTTTATAGAGGCGTCATCATCTACTATCTGGGCCTTCAGCTGTGCCGAACGCTCAATCTGAAAAGATTCCAGAAGAAGTCAAGGTTACACAAATCACCATTCATGTCAAAAGGAAACATCTCTGCGGTGCTTGTTTTGTTTATTTTCCCAGTTCTGAGAAGGTTTCCACCTGTAACCAACAGGGTCTCCAAAAACGATGACAAACAGAATCTGCAAAGCTGCTTTTCACCACTATTTTTGTTCCCAACAGAGTGCCTCCAGGGCATGCAGGCAGCAACTGGCAGAGCATGTAAGAGCACACAGGGTGGGCCTCAGGAGACACTTTATAGGTGGGCTATCATCGTGATAGAATGTTCTCAAAAGAGACAGGAGACCTTCAGCGTGTTTAGGGCAGGCAGTCATTCCGAGTTTAAATAAGTCAGTCTGGTGACGCTAATGCAACTTATGCTGAGTTCATCTGGCTACTGAGTGGCCGGCCACAATACTTGAACAAGAGAAGAGCAATACTCACTTCACTCTGCAGCTGTTTTTCCAGTACTTGTTTTTGACTTTCAAACTCCTTATGCTCAAGCACCCTGGCATTTTCTGCTTTCTTTAACTCGTTCTGAAGAACCGCCAGCTCTGGAGAAGGCTGAGCTAGGCCTAAGCACGGAAAACAAGCCTGGTCATCACCCATCTGCTGTTGACCTATTTCACTGAACAAAACCAGCTCTGGAGGGTCTAACTGGTTCTTCCTTTTCTCTGCACTCACACAATTAGAATTATATTACTTCTATTAAATGGACAGAAGAGCAATCCTGATTCACAAATTTCGGAAACAAAGACTTTAATGCACGTTCATGCAAAATGTATGAATTACTCTTTGGCGTCCTACTCCAAGTAATGGAACTCTTTCAAATCCTCAAATGAACCTGACAGCCTGTCTCTCTCCTCCACTCTGCACAGAAGGTAGAGACGGAGCGTTCTATCAAGAGCTGATGAATCTGATCTGTGCACCCGTCCGTGACAGTCAGGGCCCAGGCAGAAAGCAGATGGCACCCCAAATCGGGTCATCTGTGGACCTTCTGGAGGGTAACTACAAAGGATGAGGTCATTCCCTGGGACAATAACGTGCCGTGCGGCTACCACCCTTGGACCACTATCGTAGAGGGAACAGGGAGGACCAACTTTAACCTCACATTCCTTCCTGCCTCCAAGTGCTGGCCAATGTCCCCATCAGCCAACCACCACCAGGAGTCAGAAGGTGTGAGCGCCCCTGACAAAGCCTGTAGAGGCAAATTTGTAGTTTAACCACACTCTTTCCTTCAGTGGCCCTACAGATTATCCAACAGCAAGCAAAAAGGACATCATTTCCAGCCAAGAATCTTGTTGTTGTTATATGCCATCAGGTTGGACCCGACTCTAAGTGACCCTTCCTTGGGTTTCCAAGGTGGTATCACTATGGCAGTAGATGGCCCAACCTTCCTTCCAAGGAGTGGCTGGTGGGTTTGAACTGCCAGCCTTCTGGTTAGCAGTCAAGTGTCTTAGGCACTATGCTACCAGAGCTTCCGCCAAGAATCTTAATTGTATAAAATCTTTCCATTTTAAGTACCTTACAGGTACTGACTTCATAGGAATCACAAAAATATGCAAGTACAAAAAGAGACGCACGGTTTAGGAGACGCATGTTCTCGCTGTGACTCTCCTCCAGCTGTTGTTTGAGCAATCTCTTTTGCACCTGCAGCTCCTGTTTCTCTTCTTTCAGTTGTGGATAATCACTCATTCCTTTAACCTTTTCACTCAGCAACTGGTTTTGTTTGGTTATTGCCAGCGATTGGGCTTTGAGAGACTCTAACTCAAGCTGAAATCAGAAAAGGACAGATCATATCTGCATAATGACCCTTCCACAGTGCTTATGTACAAGCTGGCAGGATGCTTTAACCTGGGCACCACAATTTAATTCAGGTCCCTCAAGAGAGGTGGGGCCGAGGAAAAGTTCTGGAACTTGAATCTCACACAGCTCCGTGCTATAAAGCAAGGCTAGAGATTATTACTCAATTTTCCAGAGGCAACTAAGGACCCAAGGACGAGCATGGACTGCCATAATATCCTTTTTTTAAATACAAAAGGTGAGGAAGAAATGATGACTACATGCCGTGAGGCACTGTCCTTGCCTCACATATCTGATTGCTGGACCTGGAATCCTACAAAATCTCCAATGCGCACGTCATCACAGGGGCACAAACAAACAGTATCACAGATCACATCTGCAACACCTAAAGTTCCAGCACTATCCCCCAGACAACGCGCAAGGGAGCAGAAGCAAGGCATGGGTGGCATGTGAAAGTGCATCTCACTTTGTTCCCATCTATGAGACATCCATGGAGTGAAGGGAATATGTACCTGGTGCTGGTAAGAAAGAAAAAGAGGCTGAGGTAGAAACTGGCCTGTACTGACCACTACATCCAATCGCTCTCAACCACCACATGACATGGGCAGTATTCCAAATTTTACAGGTAAGGACCCTAAGGTCACAGAGCCTGGCCAGAGGCACCTGAATAGAAAGGGCCAGAGGCAGGACTCAAGTAGGACTCTGGGTCTCCAAAAGATGTGCTCTTTCCTTCTCAGTCACATAATAAACAGTCCAAATGTGCCCAGAGATGACATGCGATAAATTATGTATGACTCAAATTAAAGCGTCACATGCTGCTTAACATGTTTCTGGAAAGAATCACAAGTTTCACAATTACCTCGAGTTCTTTCACACGATTTACAGACTGAGTGAATTCTTGCTTTTGGGAATTAATCACTGCGAGTTCTTCTTGCAGATGCACAGCTTTTTCTAAAAAAAAAAGTCAACCAGTTAAACAGCGTAATGCTTTCAGAGGGCAGACAAATGCCATTTAATAATTTATGGCCAATACGGCAGACCTAACAGCCACTCTTTCATACACTAAATAGGAGATGTCAAAAAAAAAACATGGCTGTCAAGTCAATTCTGACTCATAGCAACCCCATAGGACAGAGTAGAACGGCCCCATAGTTTCCAACTCCAATCTTTCAGTTAGCAGCTGAGCGCTTAACTGCTGCATTGCCAGAGGTAAAAAATTCAGCAAGGAAGAAATAAAGCCTGTTACCCAACAGGTGATGGAAAGTGCTAACAGTCACATATGTGGTGCAATTTCTCCTGCTTCACTGATGTTAATCAGTTACACCATCTGCTCAGAGCACAGGGCCTCAGCCAACAGACCTTAATTTCCTTCAGCACAAACATTTGTCTGTTACTGTTTTGTAGTTTTCACTTCCTCTAACACAAGACTATGTAGATATATCGTTAAAAAATAATTTGCGGAATACACAATGGTATTAATTCCTAAAGAAATATTAATTTCCCCAAGATAGCCATAAAAGGAACAGCAACAAATTGGGTGTGTCTAGTACTGACTAGACCAGTACCAGCCCTGGTTTCCTCCCAGGAAGCCTTTGAAATTTCTGCCCGATGTCCAACTTCCTGTCACAAGGCATTTCCTTGAAATATACTGAAATGCAAAATATCCAAAGACTGAAAAATTATTCAACTTTCCCAATCCTGGGCTCATGTATACAAGACTTCAGAAGGTTATCTGGCAAGTCAAAATACTCTAAGGCCTAAAGATAGATTAGAAGTAAAGGAAATAAGAAAGTGATGCATGTGGGACAGAGAAGTTCAGAGAACTCAGCAAAACAGCAAGTCTCTCTTGGTTACAAGCACTGATGAACAGATTGCACTATGGTGCTGCCACTTTCTTGACAGTCAGAGCCTTACTCAGTAAATGATACTGGAAGCAAATTGGATCTAATGCTGACTGTAAAGCACCAATCCAGGTGATGACACATGAAGGTTTGCAAAAAAAGTCATGAAAGACAAAGATTCTTTTTCAACTTTGTAAGAACAGAATATTAACAATGAAGTGGAAGCTATATAGTTTTCAGAATACAGAAATAGACCCGACTTGGGAACTAACAACTTACCTCAGAACCCAAAAATACAGCCCCCAACTCCCCCACCCAGACTCACCTTTATTCTTTCTTTCATCTTCTATCAGTCTATTTGTTCTACTCATGTATTCATCCTTTAGCTCAAGTTGATACCTGAGGAGGCGAAAGACCAAAAATGGGTGTCTTTATCATTTTCCTGGAACGGCTGCAAGCAATACACGGGCTTCTCTATGACCCAGAGGCACCTAAGGATACTTCGCAGGAGAGGGAGGAAATTCCACGGTCTCTCAGTAAGAAGGCCAGGGGTCTGGACTCTGAACATCAAAGGTCCAGAGGAACCCTGCCCCAATCCAGTAAACTGGGTGCCAAAAACGCAATCACACAAAACAAAGGTAGTATTATGGTGAGGTTACTGAAAGTGATTATTGTTCAGTTGGTATCGGCTGACACAAAAAGTAAAGAAGTACAAAAGTTAAAAGGACCCTGTCCTTAGCTGGCTCACCAGTGATTTGCAAAAATCCCAAAAGAAAACAAGTCAGTTGCTTTGAATCCACCTGTCCCACCCCACCCTCACCCTCCAACCAGGATATAAGAATTTTTGTCCTCAGTATTGAGAGCCAACTGCCAGCAGCATTATATCCAGATTAGCGATACCAAAAGGCACATTTTCACAGAGTACTACTGTCTCTTCAACAGCTGTTACCAGCTTTCTGGTTCAGAGATGGGAGGAAGGAGACAGCCACATCCCTGTGGTGAGTAGCATACAGAGTATAACACATGACCAAGTTATGTGAGGATACCCAAAGCCAGACATCTTCCATGCTATGGAAAACGGCAAAATGGTGCCAAACAGGGCCCTGTCTACATGGCTAGTGCAGTGTAGTAAATCACTTAGTGTGGCTTTTCTACCCGTAAGTCTTTGTAAACTCCAAGATGGGATTTTCTATGAGCAACTGAGGAGCTCCTGATTGCTGAAGTTGTCCACCTGGAGTATTTCTGTTGGGAGTGGCACAATACAATGTTCTGGGAGCTTCCCATTCTCTCTCACGTGCTTAGAGTTCTGAGGCTGTGATTGGCTAGTTTGACCACCTTGCCGGGCTCAAAAGGAGGCCTCCTAGAGGCAGAACTCACTCTGACTGCTGGTTGAGGAAGATGTGCTGCCAAAAGAGATACATGCTCCTGAATGAGACATGTGCTGCTGGGAAAGAGACGCAAGAGACACACATTGCTGAGTGAGACACCGAGGGACCAGCACTGCTGGAAAGAGACTGTGAGAGACTGTTGGCTGAGGGACGGTGGGCTGGGATTTTTTCCTGAACTTGAATAATAGCCTGTGGTGCATCCCTAATAAACCCCATAATCTGTGAGCTCTGTGTGGCCACTGCAGTGAATTACCGAACCCAGGAGAGAGGTGGTGGGTGCTTTGGGAGGAACGGTTGGAGAAAGGGCTGGAAGGGGGAGGCAGCATGTCTGGCCTGGCAGGAATAGGCCTTGGGTTACTGCTGGTAATCCTGTCTTCCTCTTGTGGGGTTAGAGGAGGTCAGAACATGTGGCCTCCTTGCTGTTTCTGCAGCTAGGTACAACGAGCATGCACACTTCTATGTATTTATTCCCAGAAGCATTAACGATGACAGATCTTTCAGTGTTTGCTCTTACAAGGACTCATATCAAGTATCTCAATAAAAACTACCATTTCAAAGTTGATAGATGGAAAAGCTGTTATTTCTTTTTATAGCAGGATATTTTCAAAGACTTACAACCTCAAGAAACATTTGCAAGTACAGGCAGTGCCCAGAACATGAATGAGATCCATTCTTAACTGTGTCTTTAATAAGTTGGACAGGCACATACAGTTTTATTTAGCCTTTAGTCCAAGAAAAAAAGCCTTTTCAATTATTTAAAAGCTGCACATGCAGCAAGTGAAGGCGATTAGGATGAAAAATTTGTTGCATGTTGGGGTTGGTTCAATCGTTTCAAAGTGAGAGCAAATTTACATAACACTAAAGAGCAATAGTTGTTTTTTAAGTTACACGTTGGTAATCCAGGAACTGCCTATACTTAGTACAGGGTTATCAATGAAAATTTATGAGCAAGGCAGTAAAAGCAACTGTCTACTCACATTAGGAATCATCCAGAGCAACTAAGCTAAGTCAGCTCATCTCTGTGCATTCATTTCCTCAATAAATATTACCTGAGCCCTTAATATGGGCCAGGTGCTAAGCCAGGCACTGGAGAGACAGGCTGTCATTTGGGCTCACTGTGGTACTGTGATTAAGACACTGGGGTGCTAAGCAAAAAGGTCAGTGGTTCAAACCCATCAGCCACTCTGCAGGAGAAAGATGAGGCATTCTGCTTCTGTAAAGATTTACAGCCTTGGAAACATGATGGCGGTTTCTATGAGTTGGAATTGACTTGATGGTGGTGGTTTTTGGTTTGGGTCTTTGTACTAAGATATTATTCGCTAGACCCCAGAACCCAGACTAAAGGAAAGCCCACTAGAGTTGCCTATTTTCCTTTCCTCTGTATTTTTTGTTTTCATTCAGTTAATTTTAGTTTCTGTGGATTCTGGCTTTGCAGAATCTTGAAGGAATACAAAGTACACATTCACTGACAAATACTACAGCCACGTTGTTGGTGTCAGCTGCCCACCAGGCCTCGCCGCCCCCCCCCCCGACTCATGGCAACCCCATGCACAACAGGATGGGACGGTTGGGATCGCAGGGTTTTCACTGGCTGCCTTTTGGAAGGAGATCGCCAGGCTTTCTTCCTAGCCCATCTTAGTCTGGAAGCTCCACTGAAACCTATTTAGGATCATAGCTGTACACACGCCTCCACTGATAGACGGGTGGTGCCCACACTACAGCCATAAGTACGTTAATTTAGAAATGGTTAGATATTCTTATCTTAGTGGCAGTATGAGTAGGGTTGAGAAGACAACTGAACTTTACAATAATTCTAAACTTTACAGCTTACCAGCTGTGCAAGCTGAGCAAGTCACAAGGTGCCCTGAAAATTAAAGCAAACCAGGATCCTCAACAAATGTTAGAGAAGCTTGAGGCTGAGCTAAGGATGCTATTCTCCATCCTGGATCTTTTTAAAACTACCATAACAAGCCCTGAGAAGGACTTGAGTGACAAATATA